TGCTTATATCTTATCCCTTTAAAACTCCCCATCTGAATTGATTCAATGACACTTGAAAAACAAGTTACAGCTTTTAAACATATCTGAGAATTGCCAGTACAAAAATCAGCAGAGTACCCTGTATATCACACAATTTAGCACAGCTTTCTCCCATATCCACTATTTACATACTGGATTCACTAGCCTGTCAGAAGTTGCTTTAAACAAACTAACTAATAATTGGAAATTGTAAATGCACTGACTTGGAACAAGGCTTTACTAGACCTTGTCTTGCTCAGTTAAAAATATCATGCAATATAACTGAATAATGCAATTGAACTATAGAATTTGAGTTCATATTTAGATTTGAACTCCAAATTTCCTCATTATTTGGTGAGCCATCTCACGTGTTTTTAGTTTACTTCATCCATTATTACTCTGCATCGTTTCAGTGAACTATCAGATGAAATGTGATTGCTTGTGTCTCCTTGGTGAAGTAAAAATATTACACTGAGTCTCAGGGCATTCATCTGCAAAATATGTATAATAATACCATAAAGGTATTAGCTGGTAAATGGATTCATTAATGGCAGTAAAGCCCCCGTAAAGGTGAAAAAAAAAAATTGTTTCATATTTAAAATACATTCTAAGAAGCTTTATAGCACCTTGCTGCAGAGAGAGGCTGAAAATTGATATAATGGATAAAATGAAGCTAGAAGCCTTCAATTAAGTTAAAAGTAGTCCTGTGCAGGTAAAGAGTGCTGTCAGAGCTTCAAAATCAGCATAAATTCAGGGTGAAATATTTGAAGTAAGCCAGATGTACTCCACTGCTTGAAATGCCACTGCATTCCAGAGCAGTAAGGTGAGTAAGAGGAAAGTTCAGCAAAAAGTCATTGTTCAAGGGTCCAGACACAGGGGTTAGGAAAGCCAAAGCCTACCTGGAGATGAGTCTGGTGATGGATGTGAAGGGCAGCAAGAAACATTTCTGCAAGTGTGGCAGCAACAGAAGAAAGACTAGGGAAAATGTGGTCTCACTGCTGAATGGGGGCAGGGGACCTGGTGACAAATGACATGGAAAAGGCCAAGGTACTCAATGCCTTCATTGCCTCAGTCTTTACTGGTAAGACTGGGTCCTTGAGATCAGAGGGGAAATCTGGAGCAAGGAGACTTACCCTCATTGGAGGAGGAGAAGGTTAGGGAATATTTAAACAGACTGGGCAGACACAAGTCCATGGGCTCTGACAGGGTGCACCTACAATGGCTGATGTCATTGTGAGGGCACTTGATTATCTTTGGAAGGTTGTGGTGATTGGGGGAAGTTCCTGAGAACTGGAAGAAAGCAAATGTCACTCCTATCTTCAAGAAGAAAGATCCAGGGAACTACAAGCTGGTCAGGCTCACATCGGTCGCTGTGTATACGATGGAGTAAATCCTGGAAACAGCTTCCTTTACCAGCCTCTACAATGAGATGACTAGCTCGGTGGATGAGGGGAGAGCCAGGAATGTGATTCATCTTGACTTTAGCAAGACTTTCAGCACTGTTTCCCCTAATGTTCTCAAATAAGAATGGGCTAGACAAGTGGATAGTCAGGTGGACTGAAAACTGGCTGAATTGCTGGGCTTAAAGGGCTGTGATCAGAACTGCTGGGATCTAAAGTTGTGATCAGTTGCACAAAGTCCATTTGGAGGATGATCTAGCCCAGCTGTCCCACCTTGCCACCTATAAGACACATGGATGTAGGGAATCGATGCTGTTCTGTGACAGCTTGAACTCAGCTGCCCACAGACCTCCAGTGCTCTTGTGACATGTGACACCAGTGCCTATCACAGAATGATACGACAGTGCTCTAAAAGTAAGTAGGTTGTAAGAAGGTAGGCAAGGCAGATTCTGCAAGTCCAGGTCCTACATATGGCAGATAAGTTTGTGTGGGGTCTGTAATAAGACAACACAGTGCTGTTGGTGAGTAATAGCCTGCACTAGCAATAAAGTGTACGGAAAGAGAGGCTTTCAGCCCATGTTCCTCTTCTGGGGCTTAGTAGAGGGAGAAAGCATGAAAAGATGCACTACAGTCTAAATTTATGGTGAAGTGTTAGCTTAAAGTACCTTCCCAGTGCCTGTATCCATTCCTTAAGATGTGAAATTCTCTGAAGTCTGGCTGACTTACTCCTCCAGATCAGTGCTTTGCTTACTTGAATTCCAGTGGCATATAAATAATCCCATTAGTATTTATTGCTTCTACAGCCTACTGTGAGCGCTCTGAGTTTTGTCATTAATTCTTTTAGGTACAATATGCCAAGCAAGCAAGAAAAAGACTTCACAAGGGAATTGCCTAAATTGAGGGATTCAAAACAGCACAAAATAAGAAACTGTCAGATGATCTATCTCCTGTTATAATTTCAAGGAGATTCTAGGTCTAGGACATTGTTATCCTTATTCCCTCCAAGGAAGATCTGGTTGATGCTTGCCTGAGGGAGACATTGCATACAGAGGCATGCCCGGTGTTGCCAACTCTGAACATGTTCCTTGTAGTGTTGGAATAGTGGACAAGCACCCTCCCTCCTTTAGCGTTACTAATCTCTGGAGAACAGGACATCTTTGCTTTACTAGCTGCACAAGACTCACCTTCAAAACTAGATAATATTTTTTTCTTAAAAAAAGAAAAAAAATCCTATTGTAGGCAATACATTTCAGTTCCCTGAGTTTTTGCTTAAATGTGTATTACGTTCTAGTGGCTTCTGACTCTGCATTGGCCTGAAAATACTTCCTAAGCTTCCTTTAGTGCAACCAAACTACAAAGGTGTTTCACACAGCTACCAAGAAGCAGAAATCACTCTTTCAACATGCTCTATGCTCAGGCATGTCTTACCTAAAATGAATCCTAACTTTGAGTAAAATAATTATCAACTTGTGTGGATTCATTCATATGACTTACTCAGTGAAAACTGTATCTCATGGCTTAACTCACATCTGATGGTGTTTCAGCAATGTCCTATGAAGACACCTTTAGATTATACTTTAGATGGATGAGCCTGAGCAAAGGTTTAGCACCTCGTTTACTGTAAATAATGTATATTACCTCTGTCTGGCACACAGACAAGTGCAAATTCACTACACAAGTCTATACCTGGACAAAATAATTGCAGCTCATTACAAGATCTTGATAGCCTCTTGGTGCGGCACACAGGATTGTGTGATCCCTAAACGTGGTTTGTTGGGTGACTGTGCTGCCTTGGTTCATACCATGTTCAGTATGGGCTCATTTATTCATTTTGGCCACAGTTCCTCTCATCTGGTGTTGGGGGGAGAGGATCATTCAGGGTTAGCAAACCCTAATAATTGCTTCATTAAACGGTCTCTTTGGCATGTCCAAAGGAACCAGACAATGTAGTTCAGATTAGATTTCTAGCTCTTAACACCAGCTCTTAACTTAGTGTATTAGCAAGCAATTTTCATCAGGTTGCGTGAGTGTACCGTTGCTGTGAGATGTTTAAAAACATACATAGTAAATGCTCTTCTGTGTGTGCTGGGCGGCAAAGAGAGTTAATCAGGAAAGCTTTGTCCTTGACATTGGTACAATTGTGTTTTGTAGCACTGGAAAAGCAAATGTTAACATGCTTGAAACAACAAAACAGCATCTGGAGAAGTAAGAGAAAGAAACACTCAGAAAATAAGTTTGGAAAACACACTTTTTGTAAGCTAATTGCAAATAGGTGGTCAAGGCAGCCAGGGAGGAGCAGCAGAAAAAAGCAGATGGGCATACCGAGAGGACATGCCACTTACCACATCATTTGACATGAACTACACTCAGCATATTTTCTTTAAAGACTTTGTAAGGAAAGGACAAAAATCTTGCCTGACAATTTATCTCAGATACAAAGAAATCCATGTCCTATTTAGCAACAAAAAACTGAATAGGGTCAGAATCAAGTGAACATGGTTTTTGTTTTGATCTGAGTGGCCAGGTGATTTCTTGAAGAGAGACCCATAAGCTGAAGCAGAGGGTCCTGGGAAAGCAAGTGAATCACCCGAGGAAACTGGTTCCTCATTGACAAAGTGATGTCCATGTGAGGTAACCTTCAAACTAGGTGTATGCCTGTGCTTTATAGGTGGGAATTCCTGGCACGAGATATCAAATTCCACATTTGGGCCTGGAAGGACTGCACTTTTCACCAGCATTGAAAACTTTGACCATAGGTGTCTGTTTTATTTAGCAGTTCTTTGGATTGTTAAAATGTTACCACGTTCAGCTCCACTGTCTTCAGAATCGTGGTAGTGAAATGTCATCCAGGAATTAGAAATAGACCTGTGACTTTGATTTTGAGGAACAATTTTGGTTCCTGTGTGCAACATCAGTAGATCATCACTCACTAGAGTGTATCCACTGACAGGTTTTTGGCAACTATTTAGTCTACCAGAAGCAGCCAGGTAATTCCTGTAGCTAGACTGACTCTACAGCCTTAATAGTCTATGGCTCTCCTTTACCGAAGTGCCTCAGTATGTTCATTTACCTTTGATTTTCATAGACTCTATAGAATTAGGCTTACATTTTATCACTTCCATGTGTCTCTTGCTGCACTGAAGCCTCACTAAGCTAACAGTTTCCTAATTCTTGTTGCATTTTGCCTATATATTCTCTGTTGATCTGTCGACATTTGAGGGCAATCCAATAGTTTTCTTCTTTTTCACAGGAAACACTAGGTGTTTATTAACAGGAACACAACCACTTACACACACAGACTACACAGTGTGTAGTCATGGAAGAAAATAAAGTTCTTGTAGTGCAGCATCTTGTTGCCATTGTGGTCCTGAGGGAGGGAGGATCTCGCTTCTTCTCAGAGATCCTTTCTACTGCATTCTGAAACTACCACCTGAAGGAAAGCTCCTCTAGCAAAACCTTCTGAAACTAAACAAAAAAGGTCATAAAATCCAAACCCTTGGGCCTTGTGACTGTTATTCAGCTGTATTGAACTAGGGACCTCACTGTTTTGGTTTTTGGTTTTTTTTTTTTTTGCTATTGCAGGATTCCCAGCAGGAGAACTGCAAAAGCCTTTCTTTTGGGGAACGGAATATCCTAGGTAAGTACCGCACCAGGGAACATCTTACACCTCGAAATGAGGAATAACAGAGAAAGGTATTGGAAATACATATAGACAGAGAAGAGGGCATGGAGAAGAAGGCTACGCTGCTGAAGATGACCAACAGGTAGTGCACAGGAATACTGTGTTTTTTGGAAAGCTTGGCCCCTGGGTTATGTCTTCTTCCCTGCTGCATCCTGCTTTTATTATTGAAGAACCAGACTTTGAAAACTGCTGCTTTGTGCAATAACTTTTCTTACCCTTGGGAGCTGTATGTGTTGCTGTTGTCTTAAACGGATAACTGATTTCTCACAGGAATTGCTAATTAAGTGCACCTGAGTGGAAGTGTTTCAGTGCTATAGCAGGCAGATGCAGCAGTGTGCACATGGCAGGTATTAAAAGGAATTGTAAATCAGGTAACTAGCACTTCCTGAACAGAAGTGAATACCCTGAGAAGCCATTTATTATCAGTTTATTGTTCACCTTCTGCTAATATCTAAGATTAACAGTGGGCCTTCACCTGTGCCTGTTGAGGTGCATGAGAATATCTCCATGTGCATAAGTGATTGCTTGAGCAGGCCCATGTGTTACTGTAGCTGAGGAAGAGTAATTATAGGTCACATATATTTAATTTTGAAAAATCACTGCTTTTGTGCAGTTCAATAACTTTCTATTTTAGGGCAGGATAAGACCCTGAAAAGTTTCTGACAGCAGTTTTGGAAAGTTATTTTGCAGTTATATAAAGCCAGGTACTGGTGAAACATATCCTTAATAAATCTTTGTTAAAAAAAAATCAAACTTTTAAAACATTTTGGGTTCGCCATCTTGCAATCTGGATGTCTCCTTGTAAGCAGGAAATTTGGCAATATATGTAGAGAGACACATTCAATTTAGGAACAAATGAATTTGTATTCAAAGAGAATTCTTATGAGCCAGGTGACTTTCTAAATGGTAATTGGGGATAGCAGAAAGCGTTTTCTTGCTAAGGTGAACTTATTTTCTGCTGTGGTTATTGTAGCCCTGTTTCCAGCTTTGCTTTCCGAAGAGATTTCTCTGTACCCTGACCTTCTGCCATAGCAATAAAATTGTGGTTCTTTCAAAGAATTATACTTTGCTTATTTCTCTTCTTTAAAGGTTACCTTAGCTTAAATTGGTTTTGCTTGAGTACGTATCAAAATGAAATTTAGTAAACAAATGTAGCTGTTTTATATCAGAAAATGGATTGCTTTTGTCCTTGAAATATTCTGGATCTGTTTTCTGTCTGCTTAAAAGAAACAGTACATGTCACTAGAACAGAAAAATCGTCAAAAAGTCATCAGCACTTCATGGAAAACTGATTTAGCAAATATTTAACATTTAGTGGTGTTTTAGTGTCCTGTTCCAGCATAACCACTATAAAACAGCTGCATCTATTTGCATAAAAGGAAGCTAAGTTATCACTTTACATCTCAGTACATGAAAGAAAATACGATTCAAATGCTAACATTCATAGTTACGAGTCTTCAGTGCCAGATATACTGAAATAGGGACTTCAAACTACCTGAGTTGGTAGCTTCCTTATAGTCCTCTGAGCCTCCCCAGTCCCAGAAAGTTCCCTTCTAATATGGTACCTGTTGGGCTGCACCTAATCCCCTCCATCTCTGTACAGCTGTGCCCCAGAAGTAAAGAGCATGAACATGGGAGTATTTCTGGCAAAAATGTTGTTGAGCCGGACAAAATGCTGAAGGGGGTTCACAGAAGCAAAGGCCAAAATTCACCCCAAACTTCACCCCATCTTTTGGAGCTGGGGAAAGCCCTAGGAGTGCCCGGGCACCAACATGTTCTTTGTCCCTGCCACTCATGGTGGCCAATAACCTTAGAAGAAAAATAAGATGTATTTAGTAATAGGGTATATTGGTTCTTCTTGACCTCTTTATATGTTTTGTGCCATTCTTTTTATACTTCTCTGGCTGCAAAAGACCCTGTATAACCACTTTACTTCAGATGTGGAAAACAAGTCTAATATAGATTTAGTATGGATAATTATCACTGTGTGCTACACAAGATTACAAATTTGTCATACAAAAGGATGATATTTCCACTGCCAAAATGTACAATTTTAACCAGCATTTTTTAGTGAAGGTTTGCAATAGTACTTGGGGGAAAAAAAAACAGTAGGGAAGAATTTATCACATGCAAATTACCTTACAGGAAAGAAAAAAACAAAATGAAGAATTGTCATGGGATCAGGGCGAATTAAATCATATAATACTTTTTGGGCATGACTGAGATGAGCAATTAGTGTGCTATGGATCATTAGGTCCAGTAATAACATGTTACTTCAAAACTCTCTGCCTTTCTCCTATTTCAATACAATGTGTTAGAAATACTATAAGCTACTTTGAAGTATGGCATCTCAATAACTGAAATAATTAAAATCACAAAGGACAACTTAACAAATGAAAGATGCATTTAGTACATCACTTTCCCCCTGCACTATCCTCTGCATTTGATATAAAAAAGCCCTGAACCTTTCCCACTTTCATCCCTATCTCTTCTAGATGCATGTTTATTTGGATATAATGAGGAAAACATAATTAATTGTCAATCAGGAATACAAAATATTTGTTTCTATTCTGGTTCTCTGGTGGATTAGATCTGACTGTAGATCATGTCCTATTTCTGTACAGGTGCAAGGAAACTGTGTGACCTCTCTTTTTAAAATGGAAGGGAGATCTGTTTAACGCTTTACAAACTAGAGTCAGTCATTTGCAAGTCTGTTTGTTGCATGCCAGTGAAGAATGATTGGAGCTGGCATGAGGGAAGCCCATTTCAGCCCTTATCTATTCTTTTTTCGTGACGACGCTACGAGAATAATTTCACCTCTAACTTTGTCCTGTTCTCAGTTAGAATATACAAAATGCAGCCAGCTGAAGGAGACATTTTGGAGCTCATATGATGCTAATAAGAGATTTGGTTAGAAGACTAAACCATCACAATGCTTTTTAAAGTTTTATATTAAAGGTTGTTTCTAAACAAGTAAGAGTTTAACATTCTAACTTTCAACAACTTTAAGTCAAAATTGTGCAGGTATGATTTTTAGTCCCATTCCCTACCCTACTGCCAGTTTAAATAAATAATGATCTTTCCTGAGGTAGAAATCTGTTTTATTCTTCTGTCCTTTGATGCTCATGAGTGTGGACACTTTCTGAGGAAACTGCTTCTATGTGTTACAGGTCATTAAGCTACGGTGCCATAGGAGTAATTGTTGGCCACGAGTTTACTCATGGATTTGATAGCAATGGTGAGTATTTGTCCATATGTTGATAACGTTTTTTTTTTTAACAGTTGACAGATTAGAAAGCTGGTTTGTATACGCTTTAGCTTTTTTATTGTTTTGGTTTTTAACAATGCTGAATTGTATGAAAAAAATTATGAAGTTGTATTTTTTTATTTATTTACATACAATCTTGCTTGTTTGAACCAGATTTTGTTTGGTAAGGAATATCACAAGTTTGACACTTTATGTTTATTTTGAATGGAAACTAAATCAACAACAGACTTAGAAAATCCTGGTTGGGGGGAGTGGGAAAGGCAAAGGCAAGCTTCTGAGTGATAAAAATTACTTCCAAGAAAACTTTTCATTTCAGTTTTGACTTTTTTCAAAAGGCAATTATGTACAAATATTAAAATACAACGCTGGAACAAAAGTGCAACAGAAAACGTGTTGCAAAATACTTTTTTTAAAAAGGAGCGAGAAAGAAGAAATGGTCTGAAAATGTCAGACTAACTGTCCTGAAAAACTGGGTGGAGTGGGGCATTACCACCATCTAACTTTGGCTATCTCAATAAAGTGCTTCTTAAAATCGGGCTCCTGAGACAGAGAGGGAGAGAGAGAGAGAAACACAAACCTCCTCCTCCAGAGAGTAATTCTGACTGACTGACTGACATCCTGCACTGACTCACTGTCTAGAGAAACTTCTTTCCACTGAAAATATAGGGAGTTTAAGGAAAAGCAGGCTTCTAGCTCAGTGCCTAACTAAAGTTAGGTTGTTTATGTTCTGTTACTTTGAACGCCCTTTAAAAAACAAAAGGAAAACCTTGTACCCTGTTGGCACTGCTCCACAACATTTTGCGTGAGCAAACACTCCTGAATGGCGAAATGTTTCTTCATAAACTCCTATCTGCCCTACCACTTCCATATCATACAGGTTATGGTGTAGCAAGTACATCCATGTGTTTGAGTAGATAGTTTGATTTGATAAACTTGGTTTCTGGAACTGACCTTCATTTGAGCATAGCATGATTAAGAGACACTGCTAAAGAGACCCTGCTACAGAGAATATTACAGCACTTGAGTACTGGCTGATTTTTCCATCCTGCAGTGTGATGTGGAGGGCCTGGACTTAGTCTTCAGTGCTGACCCTATGTTCCTAAAAGTCTGGCAGTCAAGTCTTATATAGTCTTTTGTTGCAGAAAGGTAGACACAAGACATGTTAGGACTTTTTTTGAGAGCAGGTTTATCTGCCCATGAGGATGCAACCTTGCTCTGTGATTTGATTCTTCATTATGACTGTAGGAAAGAGAGGTAGGGAGCAGCCAGTAGATATGATACCAAGTACTGAAGATGTTTTCTTTCATCTTTTTATTTCTTTATTTTTTCCCTGTGTGTTGTCTTGTTCAAGATGACAAGTTCCCTAGAGATATATTTATTTCTATATTTGGAAGGTAAGAGCCTGGGCAAGAGATAGTGGTCTGCTTAGGGAAATCTTAGGTTCCTCTCTGACTGGCTGAAGATGTGATGCAGATTAGATACTCTCCTACAAATGAGATGGAGCAGGGACCTGAGGCTGAATCTTCCACAAGCCATTGCTGTAACCATCAGCCTGGGGAATGGGATTTATGTATTCTTGCTTCCATGCATAGGGTTCAAATATTCTGGTTTTGCTCCAAGGCAAAAAATGGAAACTTCAGGAGTTTCCATGAAATGGACTTTTTTTCTGGTCAAGCATATAATTAATTAATAATGCATTAGTTATCATCAGGTTTGCAGAATCAAAGACATGTGGGCTGAGGATGAAAAATACTCACAATTATACTTACAAGAAAGCTCATATGCCTCTTAAATTACGTAATTATAAAATGTACTATAGTACTCATTAGTCATTACTATTTTTTTCTGAAAATGGAAATTATGACAATAAATAGAATGCCAGTTTTTCACCACTGATATGAGTGGGATCAAGATTTTGCTCGCTGATCATAGCCATTTTGTACACACACTTGTATGAGTACATTCACCTCTCATTTCTGTGCAGGTGATAGATTCCAAAACTGGAAAAGTACGGTGTTTTCTCCTACAAAAACATTTGTTTTCTTTCTTTCTTTTTCAAGGTCGGAAATATGACAAAAATGGAAATTTAGACCCTTGGTGGACAACTGACTCTGAAGAAAAATTTAAAGAGAAAACAAAATGCATGATTAATCAATACAGCAATTACTACTGGAAGAGAGCTGGTTTACATGTATGTAAAACACCCGTGATGGAAAACAGTGGTGCCTTAGGAGTTTTGGGGTTTTTTTTTTAGTTATCTTTTCATAAATCCTAACATATTGGGATATTAGGCTACCAACTTCATTTCTCACAACCAATCATTTTTTGAAGTGAATAATTGTGATAAAAATTGTCTGTCAGATTTGATTAGTCCAGTCAAATACCACTACCCACACCCTGGTGACAGGGTTAAACCACTTCTCCTCATCACATCGTATTGGAATCAGAGGAAGAGGATGAAGCCACTCAGCAGGGCCTGTCTAATTACTGTGAGCATGTTAAATGTCTTCTGAAGATGAGTTCCATAATGAAAACTGAGCAGCCACTCTTTTTAAAAAGAAGAATATAATAGCATGTTTTATAGATTCCTTTAGCAATTCTGCCTATTATTTATTACAGCTATAAAATGGATGCATAAACCCTGCTTTATTTCACATTCAACTCTTGCTATTTCTTCCACGTGTGCACGCAGACCCAATTTGTATCTCAAATGAAGGGAGTATGATAGCAGTAGCTCATAGAAAAGAACTGAGAAAGAAAGTGCAAGGGAATGGTTTCTCTTTCATTGCCTATCAGAGTTATGGGCTTCCCTGAAAATGTGCACATTATCTAAGTGCCCAAAATGAAGGATAAATAGGATAAATCCCAGACCTTGCAAAATCAATAGCTAAAATTCCAGTAATGTTGACTCAGACATGATTTTAATCTTACTTTTCAGGATAAAACACATACCCCACTCCCTACTCAATTCTACCACCTTTACTTCCATTTTAGAATCAGAAATACAATTACGTCTTTTTCTTTTAAGAATAGAGAAGTCACATTGAATGCTTAGCAATAATTTTAACACTTTCCCTTGGCTCTTTGTATTAGTTTCAGAGATAACAAGGCCATATTGTAGTCCAGACTGAAGTTCAACAACTCAGACTTGAAGTACTTCATACAAGCTAATTTACAAATAAAAATTATCAGGCTCATTCCTGAATATCTGTAGGACAAAAACTGTCAATACAAAAATGCCACTTAAAGAAGGTCATTAAAACCTTTCCCAAGGATGTGACTGAGCCCTTCCCCTGAGCTCCTGCCATTGGCTTGGCCATGCCCTTTACCTTCTGTGGTGTCTCTTGAGATGGGGTAGATCTGAATTTCCCTCCAGTGTAGCTATTGCTTTTGAAGTCCATGGATGGGTTTACTAGAGAGGTCCTGTTACCCACAGCCTTGTCATCTGTAAGGCTTTTTTCTCCTATTTCCATGGGATAACCTAAAGCACTTCTTAGATGGTAGAAGAATCTTGATATTTTCTGCCATATTTTATAGCTTCTGTATGAAGGGCTATGCATGCAAATAGCTTTTTTTTGCCTGTCATTTACATCAATATTTATACATTCTGCAGGTTTTTTACCCGTGTACTTTTTTTACTATTTACTCTTCTTCTTTCTCATTCAGTTTACAATAAAAATATCTCCAGAAAAGAAGCGTAATGAAAGAAAAAGTGGATCTAGAAATAGCTTCAGAGTGCAATAATCACATAAAGTCATCTGATCAAATAAAGGGCTTATCATGGTCCCTGAGCCCTGTCACGAACTGTCTGCACAGAGTAGTCTCAGATACCTGACCCAGAGCTGCCTGAGATCAGCAGAAAGACTTCTGCCACTTATTAAAATGACCTATGGCCCAAGTGCCACTGCTAGGTTACTCTCATCTTATGCTCTAAATCAGTCTACTTCACAAGCCCACTGCAAGAAAAATGTGTGAGTAGATAGACTAGAAAAAAAGGCAGCTAATGTGTGTGCATGTTCCTTGGTGTCCCAGCATCTTTTCTCCTAAAAACCTCTCTCCCACCTCCATCTCCAGCCTCCTGAGGGGAGGGAGGGCTGGCAGGAAAGGGGTGCACTGTCCTCTACTGCTCCCATTTCTCCTTTGTTACACCCTTGGGTGTAACATTGGACCCAAGGCATCAAGCAAGATACTTGGTGCTCATTTGCACCGAGTGGTGGGTCTGTGCACACGTACCTGGGTATCCCCTAGGTCCTTTTACCTCTTCTCCCCCATTTTCCCCTCTTTTACCATCCTGAAACTAAGGTGAGTCCTGACGCCAAGCCCCCTATACTCATCCCTGAGCATGGGAGAGCCTGTCATTGGAGGATTTGCAGGACAGCATTGACCTTCAGAGCTCTGCTCAAAACTGTGCTCAATTACCTTGCTCATTCAAGGCACAGTAGAGAGTAAAACTGCTTACTTACAAATACAGTTTGGTAACACTAAGACCCTAGTAGGCTGGGTGATCAGAGATGATGCTGCACTTGCAAAAATGAGGGTTTCCTCATAATGATATTGCATTTGGTAATACCAGGAGACTGGCTTTTTCAGAAAGTTTGGATAGCACTGCTTCTCACAATATATTCTTGTTGCTATTGCTCTTGGAATCAATACTGGGGAAAAACAACATGAATCTCCTTTGCAGATATTTTTAGAGCACTGAATATATTATCAATTTCTGTCTCTGACAGTTATTTTTAATTACGCTGTTTTATGTTATGACTGAAAAGTTATTTTAGCATCCCACTAGTATATAAAGAGTTATGTAGAGAAACAAATATAAGGTTTTAGATAAAAGTTTAAGAAAGGGGCTACTGGATCTCACATGTAACCAGAGAAAAACAGTCTTCAGGGGAAAATTATTGATGCTCAGATCAAAGATCAGGGACTGGATTCTTGAGTGCATTTTATCTGCTACATTTTGTCCTACAGAGATCTAGGACCAGAGCCAGGATAACTCATTGCACAGAATTGTTTATTGACAATTTTCACATTGAAATCCAGTTTTCTTAATCAGAGATATGATGGTTTAAATTGGCTGAGGTCATTCTTGCCTTGTTTTATTTTTTCCCCTGTTTCTTGAAGTTAATCAAGAAGGAAGTTCAGAATCGGGTCAAATGACTTATGTTCTTTCATTCTGCCAGGTGAAAGGCAAAAGGACTTTGGCAGAAAACATTGCAGATAACGGAGGTTTGCGAGAGGCTTTCAGGGTAAGTAGATGAAAAATATCTGAAACATAGTATTATTTAAAAAAAGAAAATAAAAAAGGCGTGGTTAGGCTCCATCTCCCTGAAAGGCACTTGGTATCTCTTTCTTATCAGGCATACAGGAGATGGATTACAGAAAAGAGAGGAGGAGAAGAAGAGCCTTTACTGCCAGGCCTTGAGTTCACACACAACCAGCTTTTCTTTCTGAGTTATGCCCATGTGAGTAGTACAAATGTGTTTCAAGTCCCCATCTATTAACCTGCACGTCTCTCAGAGATGAGACTTCTTTGTTTCAACTGTCTACACCAGCCAAACCCAGACTTTTAAGGGTATAAGCAGAGACTTCTTCTCCCAGGACTATTATTTCTTTTCTCTTTCTTTGTCCTCATCTATCTAACCATGGTTCCAGAACTGCTGAAATTATTCTTGGTTTTTCACAGTGTTGTCATGGCAGCTTGCTTTCCTCTTGCTGCTTACCTCCACTGCAACGGAGATTGCATGTATGGGCTCCTTAACCTCTTTCCATTTTAGCTTCCCAGTTTTCTGGTGCTTGCTGTATGCAGCAGTTTCTGACTGCTTCCACCACAGACTCCTGTTGCAAATGTATCATCACCGTTCATTACTGAGCATGCTGTTCAAGGAAACTAAGCAGCAATGAAGAAAATCTTAGTTTATTTTTTCCCATCTTTGTTTGCTGCAGTAAAACTTTGATAGGGGATGTGAGTTTTTTATAAAAACACGTAGAACAAGGGAGAGAATCAGAAATTATTTATTTGGTTACGAGAGTTGGGACAAACTCCCTATATGAGGAGTAAAAGTTGGGCTGTAAAACTTTGCCTGCCAGTTGAAGGAATGAATCATCTAAAACTGAAGAACCCAATGCAACTAATACAACAAACCCTGGCTGAAAATAATTTCTCTGCTGAGAGTCAGTGTAACAGCATATGGGTCTATGGCCACTTAAGTTTGACAATATTGACCTGTGAAAAAACTCCACTTTGGTCGTTTATGCTGAGTTGAGTTTCACACTGTGTCAGGTTTTGTCCAGGAAAACTTTGGAGCCATAGGGAAGATATGTGAGTCTTACAAGACCGCTGCAGGAATTGTACGTCCAGTGGACCCTCTGAGGGGAGGCACATGCACAGTGAAAGCAGCGTATGCCAGGTACCCTTGAGCTCGGCTTGTTTCCCCAGAGCTTAAGACACTCAACAGACTCATTCAAACTGCCAGGGTTGTCTTCAGCCAGACAAAATTGCACTGAAGTTCACATATCCTATGGGCAGTCTGGATTAAAGGATTTTGTCAACAGGAAACATTCAACACAGGAGTTTAGGTAAGGTAGAGGCTGCTTAAATGAGATTTTTCATGCAATGGATACAGCATAAGAGGGATTATTTAGCTGTGCAAATGTTCTCTCTACCCTGTTTTGTGGTGAGTTACAATTGGGTCAAGTATTGTATTAGGACCAGTGAATTGGGGACCACTGCTGGAAACTTGAAAAATGTGTAATTTCAAAAGGAACTGACATTCCAACACGGAACAAATGTGTCAGGTAATATAGTTGCAATTCCAGGGATGATAAGCATTATTACATGTACCTTTTATACACATTACATAGCTTTGAGACCAAGAAGTATGCTTGGTAATTATGAAGGCGTGAGATGCTGCAGCACAAGCTGAAAAACAAGCTACAGTTATAGAGAACCTCAAAAAAAGAACTAGTAAAGTGGCTATGGTTAGATGATGGGAATGAGTGGGTGGAGAATAACAGTGGGTGGAGACTGGATCCATTAAGGGATTTCAAAAACAAGAGAATATATCAACAGAAATCTGCAAGTTAGCAAAGGTGAAACAAAACAGGAGTTTGTGGTGTCTTTCCATTTTGTGCATTCTGTAAGTAATAGGTATCTTAACAACAGTGACGTTACATTCTACTTTACTTCCAAAGTCATCCCAGATAACGTGCCTATTTCTGCTTTTTATCTTTTATTAGGTAAGATGCAACTCCTTTAGACCAGAATCTGCGAGAGAGCAAATATATATTGGAGCTCACAGCCCTCCTCAGTTCAGGTAGTGCAAATAGTGTATTTACTCAGTATACATATAGAATCAATCACTGCAGCACACAAGTGCAGAATTTTAGCATGTTAAGAGGGTTTTAAAAGCAAACACAAAATTGGACTGTGCTCTTGGCTTAGATTGAAATTGAACTGGTTTTATTAGCTTATCTTTCACTATTACAAATGCTCTTCTGCAAAAATGAGGGGCTTGCATCTACCTTCAAAAGCAGTTGAGCCAGAACACACTCTGATCCCTGTGATGTTCTATAATCATGGCCTGAGTATCTAAAATGTCTAATCTATCACTTTTTTTCCATGCAATTCTGCTTTAGAAAACAATGAGTATTAGAGGGGTCCTTGATTTAATCTGCCTGAGTTCATTAAAATCTTTAAAGTGATTACCTTGAATTATATTGGTAATGCAAAGCAAAACATGCCCTGTAAGTTCAGTTCAAGATTGAACTCTTAGTTGCCCTTCAAGAGACACTTTGCTTGAAGGAGCTGTGGTAGTCCAGTCATAACAACATGTCTGTGTCCTTGCCCAAAAGGCCTCCCACAGGCTCTCCTAACCATAGACACCCCTGAACCTCAAGAAGGAAAGGCTGGAAAAGGAGGAAGGTTTAAAGACTTCATAAGAATTAGGAAGCCAGGGTTTATTTCTCTGCTTCTCCACAGAGTTTGTGTGACTAAAAGCAAGTTTCTTCTGTTGGGATTCATGTTGTATTTAGTCAACTAAGAATTGTGTGTTTGTCCTCAGTCAAGTGCTACATTTCCTCTGTATTTGGGAGAAGGATGTTAACTCCACAAGTTAACTCCATTCATAATGGAGGTGTCTCCAATACACGGGATTAGTTGCCTTCTGGAGATTCCTACCGCTTCCTGTTGACTAAAGAGGGAGCTAGGTTCCCACCTTTTCCACAGCTAAATTTAGGTGACATGAACCCCCTTCGCCTCTGTTCTTTCTTGGTAAAGTAAAAATAGCAACACTGGCTTCACAGGGGAGTTGTGAGGTTGCTTCATAGGTACTCTGACATATTCCCTCGACACAGCCGCACCAAAGCTGAAGATATAAACACGGCATGCATAACACACCTTGGACTACTTATAACCAGAATGGGTTAAGAAACAATGGAACTGGAAACATGATGACACAAATTTAGTATAAGCTAGCATTGCAGATGTGTATGCTTTGTCTTGGTAGACTTCTATACTCTGCATTGAAACCTGCAGTGCTGTACCTTTGCAATACCTGTTACACCAGCTAGCTAGAATAAAACTAGTGCAGTATGCAAATCTGCATGCCTTTTAACAATTGAAAATACATCATGACAATGAGGACAGGAGTATCAGGCTGATCTTCAGCCTACAGAGCGATATCTTTTTATAATTCCTACCCTTGTTAAGATTTTGTAAAATAACCACCTCTTGCTTTTTAAAGTCCTCAGATTTATTTACCTATACATATATTTATATATTCTGAATCATTACATAGCTACATTCCCATGAGATGGTGCAAATCACAAAATATACAGGGAAGCCTAGGGATAGAGCATTCATGACTAAAACTCATGAAGGAATCGGGCCAAGAAACAAAATTCCAGAGAAGATTAGATGAATTTGGGGTCTGGAAAATACAGACAAAACATTTTCTTAATTTTTATGTGAGATACTCAGAACAGGCTTCTGTTTCAGACCTGAAGAGAAACTGTAGTGCTTGTCTGTTCTTGCAAATCATATCAACTGGGTTAACAAATTATACTACCTATTTCCCCCAACTTTGCTTCATTTATGTCCCAAGACCATTATAACAGCAGTACCTCTAGTTTCAACATTGACAGCTCTTGCTATCCAAAAAGCCCAAACAGCCCTTTTTTAATTATAAAAAGTAACTATAAAAGATGACAGAAATGAACAACACATATCCTTGGCATAGGTGTGTGCATCTGAGCTAGTCACCCCAGGTTCTCTTCACAGTCAAAAAAGAATAGGCATTTTGAAAGTGTGTATATATATATGTGTATATGTGCATGTATATACGTAATCCTTCTGTAAGTAATAAATTTTGATTACTTAGACTCTGCAAGTACATCTTTCTATTGACTGCCAAGGGAGCCCAGGGTTACCCATGCAGGGGAAGGTGTCTCTACTGTACTTCAATGGGATGAAATCCAGACAGCCCACTCTGATTCCACAGTTAATGTGTGGCAATATCAAAGCATGGGTAGAAAATTCACGTGCATGGACACATAAAGATCTTTTGCTAGCTAGATTCTGATTTTATTTATTTTTAATTGGTAGATTTTCAGTATTAGCATGTGTCTGCTATTTTTGAATGCCGGTTTCAGAGTGAAATCCCTGCCGTAACAGGCAGAACTCCCACCAACTTCAGCAGCAGTTCTGCATGACCAGCTCTTGCTGTTCCAGTCCCTGAATATGTATTTGCAATGTTTTTACAGTAATGTGTACATTTCATTTGAAGCCTAACATAATTTTTTAATTCTCCCTACGAAACTGACCTTTAGACATTTTTGTGCCAGCTGACTGTAAATTTTCTTACCCACAGAAAGTCTAATCAATGTAATAAGAATGTTTTCTACCATGCTGAGCTATGCTGAGAAGCTGATTGTCTGCAATGGAGAAAAATGCCTTCCCACTGCATAACAAAGAGGGTGGAAAGGCATGCAATTAATATCTCAGGAGATACTTTTCTGCTTTTAACTCAGGATGCTGTTTACTTTAATATCGTTGCAAATTTTAGGTTAGTATTATTCCAAATGCTTAAAAGCATAGGCAAAATCAGCAAACAACAGAATCCCAATCTAGCAGTGGTAAAATAATAATTTCTGACAGCATGAAATAATACAGACATGAAAGCAGGAGCCAAGGATGTCTGCATACAAAGAGCGAGCTCTTCCCCTATGCCTGAAGGTGCCAGTCTGGGATGCAGACACATTGTCTAGCTTATGAGAGGCAGGGATGTGCTGCTCTTTCAGTATCACACCATCTGTGGTGGAAGCCAGAGAGCTTGGGAGCTGGTTAGGGCAGAAGCCTCAGAAAATGTATTTCCAAACTATTAGAGGAGTTGAGATGCTCACTGGTGTAAGGCTGAGCTGGCCGGTAAGAGAGGCTCTGCCTGACCCCCTACCCAGCTTCAGGCTGCAAAATCCCAGGGAGCCAGCGTGCGCGTGTGTACATGGGTGGGCAGAGGGGGGTGTTACAAGAATCTGGCTGGCACAAGCCAAATCAACTCAGTTCCAGCACAAACATGTGCCGACACGCTCCTGCCTGTTGGACTGCAGCGGTTTGGCAGCTGCTGGGAGAAGAATTCCACCAAGCAAGGCTATCGTTGATCCACCTTTGCTGCCAAGGGTCGGATTAGAAAATTGTTCTAAATGACATAGTATCCACAAAATGCAATTGGTTTTGGCTGAGTTTCTAGCAAAGAAAGATGCTTCTCAAAACACCGAATGAAGCAAGATTGTCTTCACATTAACTTTAAATGGGAGTGCTTCTCCTGAACTTTCTGATTTTATTTGTGGAAAAATGACATGGGAAGCCTGAAAATTCAACCTGAAGTGAATACACTTAAACACTTACAGGCCTGTAGTGTTTAACAGAAGACAATCGCACATCGATCAGTTTTCTTTTCTTTTTGCAGAGTTATCGGTGCCATGAGCAACTTTGAAGAGTTCCGTAAAGCTTTCAATTGCCCAACAAATACGACGATGAACCGAGGGGCAGAATCCTGCCGGCTGTGGTAGACATCCCTTCCAGGTCTTCTGCCAAGAGGGGTCTGCAATGTGAGCTGCTGCACCTGAGCTCAAGCCCGCTACTAGAGTTTCAGAATAACGTTCTGCAATCTGGAGAGGTGTTACTTCAAATGCATCTTCCTTATCCATGCAGATAACCTGCATGGATCTAATTACTTTCTATCCAGAGCCTAGAAACTTTTGAAATAGGAGCAGAAGATAAGTTTTCTTAAATAATAATAAAAAAAAAAGGAACTCCTTTTATCCATAAAGCTACTCCTGTTCATCTGCAGTTGCATTGCTATTGATGGATAACTGCCATTATGAATTCTAATTCCTGATTTATAGTTGAGCAAGAGGTAAATGCTAGAATCCAGTTTCAATCTATTGCTCTGCAGGGGTGCTATGCAGAATGCTCCCACACAAAATTTATTCTTTCTGGATGAAGAAATTCATGAGACCTGCTATAAAGCCAGCTCTGATCTGCTGTGTGATACAGCATTTTCATAACTGTTGCTGCCCAGCATGCCATAAATGATGTTGCATGATGTAAAGACACACGACTTTATATAAATTCGGTTTAATATGTCAGATTAGTGCCTCAGGTTTTGGAACCGTTTCAAGCTGAGAAAGCACCTCATGGTTTCCATCTGCTAGGACTAAACAGAAAGGATACTTGTCAGATCCTGGCCTTTTCTAATTTTAGAACAGCTTATGATAAAAATCAATGTATGATGAAAACCGGAGGTTTGCAGAGGGAATTCCCAGCACCATGATACTCAGAAATATTACAGCACTTATTCCTGTCTACAGTGTGGGAAGTTTTTTTCCCAAGGGGTGATTTTTACTTTGTGCTGAAGGTAGCTTCACCTACATTTATTTTTAAGCCTGAAATGCTATACCAGTTTTAATTTAGTGATTTCTTAGCATCTGGCTCTTACAGAGGAATGTATGTAGTGTGCATGTTTGTCCTCATGTTCTGGACAGGGCAGGACTTGTGATTTTAAGGAAAGAAGAATATGTGGCTGAAAACCAGAGTACCAGCAGCATTTGACTTGTCTGGATAAAAAGAGCAATACAGGAGTAGAGGACTTTTAAATACAATATACACGCAGGCCAGTTGAGTTTTTCATTTGATTTCTAACAATATTCATAAAAAAGCATATTTTACTGCAGCAGAAAAACTTTAAACATAACTATTACTAAGGGAAGGAAAAAACAAAACAGCCCTTTCTTCCCCAACAGAAAGATACATATTTAACTGGTATTTATTTATACCTTGTGCATTAATTCATTTTTACATGGTGGAATTGTTTCAAATGGAGAAGGAGTTTCTTTAGACTGATTTAATTACTGCAAATCTATATATGTCTCTGTATGTATATATTTTTTTAATATAT